AACCGGGGTGGGCGCACACCTTTAATCTCAGCACTCGGGAGACAGAGGCAAGCGGATGTCTGTGAGTTCGAGTTCACCATGGGTTACAAAGGGACAGCCAGGGCTGTTACACAAAGAAACTTTCTCGAAAAACTACAAAAGAAAAAAGAAAAAAAGGAATCGGTTCCAAGTAAATAATTGGTTCCCTCATCAGAAAGTCCAAAAGTTGCTCCGAGGTGTTTTCAATGCGGTTAAGGGATGAGAATCTCTGCAGGGGGAAGTGGGTATTAACTGGTTGGCAAGTTGGCTCAGCAGGTAAAGACACTTGATGTCAATTCTGAGTTCTATACCCAGAATCCTTATGGTGGAAGAAAACTGATTCTTGCAAAATGTCCTCTAACCTCTATATGAATGCTGTGGCGTGCCCGTGGCCACACTCACAAATAAGTAAATACAATCTATACATGATTTTTAAAAGAATGTGGTGGTTAACTTTATTTTACATATATATGTATATATATACATATATATACAGATATACACACATATATATACATATATATATGTATATATATATGTGTATATATATATTAAGCTCAAACTGATCAATAATGAAACCCAGTTCTGGACTTGAAAGTACCCTAGGTTCTTAACTCAAACAGCTTCCCAGTGCTAATCCCAGTGTGGATCAATAAATAAAATATGGACGGTTCACCGACGCCACCACTCCAGGCCAAGGCTATAGAGTGGAGATTAAGCAGACCCCTATTTGCTTTCTATTGTAACCCATTGGATCTAGACAGCTTAATACAGCTGTGATGACTAAAACAACGTGCTCAGTAGTTTTGAGACAGAGTCTATGCTTCCCTGGCTCACTGGGAACGCCTGGACTCCTGCCTCAGCCTCTTAGCATCTCATGGGAGGTTTTTGTTTTGAAGATTTATTATTTTTGTGTGTATGTGTATCTACATGTGTTTGTGTGTACCGGGTGATAGATAAGGCATTGGATCCCCTAAATCTGGACTTATGGGCAGTTGTGAGTCACTCAGTGATTATTCTGGGAACTGAACCAGGGTCCTCTGAAAGAGCAGCAAGCACTCTTAATGATGCTGAGCTCTTTCTCCAGCCCTGAGCTTAAAGGTCTTGATTTAGAAATCTTGCTTCAGGTAATAAACCCCACTTAAGGTATCTGTTTTATGCTGTTGAATGGTTACATACCCATAATAGTGAATGGCTCTCCTTCAACCTAAAGAGTTTTTAAAATTTTATTTTGTATTTTATTTTAGACAGGGCCTTACTATGTAGCCCGGGCTGGCCTTGAATTCACAGAGATCTGTTTGCCTCTGCCTCTCAGGAGCTGGGATTAAAGGCATGTGCCACCACACCTAGACCTTAAATGCTTTTATTAGCATATGTTGATTATCCACAATAATGGGTTTATGACATCTTCATACATATTCATAATGTATTTCTATTGTGTGAATGCATGTGTGTGCGCGCGCACACACACACACACACACACACACACACACACACACGCACAGAGGCCCAATCAGTTACCCTCCTTCTGCTTCCTTCTTCTCCCATGAACCCCTTCACTTTCTTTCTACATTCATGTCTTTTTTTCTGTGTGTGCTCATGTGACTCACTGCTTATGAACATCTTTCTGCTTCTCCAGTCAAGCATTATCTGTGTACACATCCTCAGATGCTGACTGGCCCATCTCATGGAGATTTTGTAGAGATAACCTTAGCTGCTGTGAGTTCAATAGTGTAATAACCAGGTTGAGCCTGGAATCCAGAATTCCACACTGCTTCTCCTGTGTTCTCTAGCTCTGACATTGTCTCAGCTTCCTCTCCCAAAATGTTCCCTGAGGCTTGGCAGGGGTGATATGTCTGCTTTATGGTTAGTTTTCTTTTCTTTCTTTCTTTCTTTCTTTTTTTTTTTTTTTGGTTTTTCAAAACAGGGTTTCTCTGTCCTGGAACTCACTCTGTAGACCAGGCTGGCCTCGAACTCAGAAATCCGCCTGTCTCTGCCTCCCAAGTGCTAGGATTAAAGGCGTGCGCCACCACTGCCTGGCTTTATGGTTAGTATTCAACAGCCATTTCTTCACAGCACTTCGGTCATCTGCTCTCCCTGGGCACTACACAAGCAGCTTCTTGGACCAAACCTTATAGCTACACTATGAGAGGGATAAGGTTCTGTATTTTTTTTTAAAGATTTATTTATTTATTTTATGTATGTGAGTATAGTGGTGTTGTCTTCAGACACACTAGAAGAGGGCATCAGATCCCATTACAGATGGTTGAGCCACCATGTGGTTGCTGGGAATTGAACTCAGAACCTCTGGAAGAGCAGTCAGTGCTCTTAACAGCTGAGCTATCTCTCCAGCCTAAGGTTTTTTATTTTAAAATTTACTAGGCACTTATATTTTGGTTGAGTCAGAAGGATTCCGTGTTTGAGGTCAATGTGGATTATGTAGAGAGAACCTGTTTTTAAAACAAACAAAAAACTAAAACGACAGCCAGTCATGTTAATACTTATAATCCTGACACTTAGAAGGTAAAGGAGAATGATCAAAATTTTCAAGGCTGAGGGCTGGAGAGGTGGCTCAGTGGTTAAGAGTACTGGATGCTCTTCCAGAGGTCCTGAGTTCAATTCCCAGCAACTACTTGGTGGTTCACAACCATCTGTAATGGATCTGGTACCCTCTTCTTATTTTTTCTTTTTTTTTCTTCTTCTTTTTTGTGGTACCCTCTTCTGGCATGCATATATATATATATAACACATATATAAATAAAAAATAAAAATTAAAAAAAATTTCAAGGCCAGCCTAGGCTACAAAAAAACATCTCAGAACAAACAAAAATTATTCCAGGTAGTTAAAATTTATGCATGAGTTCATGAGATTGCTCAGAGGCAAAACACTGGAGTCAAAGGAAATGCCCATATAGAGGGCTCAGTTCCGTAAAGGTAAATTGTCAGGTCTCCAGAAAAAAAAAAATGGAATAAAAACTATTTTACCTGAAAACCTTAGAACTTAAAAGTATTTGACCTTAGAACTGTTGAACCTTAGAAACTGCATTTTAAAAAGATGGATGCAGGGGCTTGAGAGATGATTCAGTGGTTAAAAGAGTATGGCTGTTCTTTCAGGGGACCCAGGGATCAGTCCCCAGAACCCACAAGGTGGCCCCCAACCATCACAAACTCCAGATCTACAAAATCTCCGCCCTCTTCTGGCCTTTATGGGTACTGCATGCACACGATGCACATACATAGAGGCACACCATCCATACTTAGCAGCTTTTGTGGGAGCTCGGTATTGGGAGCCACAACACAGCACCAGAATGACACCCACCAGCTCCCCCGGCAACTTAATGAAGATGGATGTAAGCAAGAAGCAGACCTTGGCCGGTCAAGACAAATCTCTTTAAGCTGTAGGATCCAACTCGGGTCATCAGCTGGTGTGGCAAGGGCGGAACTGGAAATAGCCCTGGCTGGCCTGGAACTCCATATGTAGACCTGGCTGGTGTCAAACGCACAGGGATCTACCTGCTGCTGCCTCCCAGGTGCTGGGATTAAAGGCTACACCACCACGTCAGGCTGGAATTTTTTGGGTTTTTTTTGTTTTTTTTTGTTTTGTTTTGTTTTTCAAGACAGGGTTTCTCTGTGTAGCCCGGACTGTCCTGGAACTCACTCTGTAGACCAGGCTGGCCTTGAGCTCAGAAATCTGCCTGCCTCTGCCTCCCAAGTGCTGGGATTAAAGGCGTGCACCACCACTGCCCAGCTCTGGAAATTGTTTTTTAATACAGATGAATATACCATTCTTGTCTCAAAATGAAGTATATTGTTTTGTTTCATTTTCATTTTTTATCAGGACAGGGTTTTTCTGTATAGCCCTGGTTGTTCTGGAACTCACTCTGTAGACCAGGCTGGCCTGGGATCTACCCACCTCTGCCTCTCAAGTGCTATAATTAAAGGCGTGCGCCACCACCACCCATCTGTTTTTGTAAGAATTTATGCATATGTGTCAAATCTTGGTCTTGTAATTAGTCATGTAAAAAATAACTGCATTCTAATGGAAATGAAGTTTAGCCCAGTGGTTTTGAAGGGAGAGTCATTAGAGTCTCTTGCTTTTGTTTTTATCTGGCTATTTTGAGCAAATGAAAGCACTCTGCAGGGCTAGTGAAGTAACTTGGTGACTAAGCCTGACACTTCCTAGAATCCACATGGCGGTCCTATGACCACCACACACATGAACCATGACATGTATGCCCACACATATATGCACAGACACTCTAAATAAGTAAATGTGATACAATTTAGAAAGCTTTCTCTAATTGCTTCCTTTGTCAGGGAGGTGGTTTTGATATCATAGTATGTGTATAAATATGTATTAGGGGCCACAGAGAGTTGTCATAACATAAATCTAGAAAAAAATGAAAAAGAGAAAGGGTCGTGATGATATCCAATACTCTGTGTTGATTACAAAAAAAAAAACTTATAGGAGAGAGTAAGAATTCTGGAGGATCACAGTGAGACCATGGCAGCAGGGGATGGTGGGGGTCAACTGACTGACAGAACCATCTTGGAAAGCTTGGCTTCTAGTGAGCAATCTCAGACACCTAATTGAAGAGAGATGAGGACACTGTGTGCCCCTGGGCTCTCACTTTCAGTACTAAAGAGCCTGGTGACTGTCCCCTGCAAGGTACAGGACGGTGGTCCCAATGTAGACTCTGTTATAGCAAGTGGCGCTGACAGCCAGTCCTTCCTTCTGCAGGAGCACTCGGGACAAAACTTACAGTCTCTGTCTGTGCTAGCATCTTCACTAGGCCCAGTCAGAATCCTCCCTGGGGGTGAGAACATCGACACGAGGGAAGCATTGCAGCTGAAGGGAAGGTTGGGGAGCTGTGGAGGCCGCCGTGAGGGGCTGCTCATGCTGTCTGTGGCCTCAGTCCCATGTCCTTTCAGGTGGAGAAGCCAGTGTGTTGCCTGCCACATGAGCCATTGTCTGGGCAGACATGGAGCTCTGCTGGGTCTTCTGGGGGCTTGTCTTGTGGCTGATGGCTCCCTGCCTGGATCTGACACGCGCATTGGCACCCCAGCAGGAATGGACATACATGGTACCACAGCAATGTAACTGGTTGTACTTGAAATTTGGAGACCATGGCTGCCCTTCAAAACCACCCAACTGTTCCACCTGCCACCACACAGCTGGAGAAGCATGTTATGAGAAGACCATGGGATACTGGAGGACAAGAGTGCTTTGGTGGCTGGTCAGTGGTTAGCGTCCAGCCCTGTGCTATTGACTTCACTCCCCGGGTCCAGTCTATCTTCCATCCTCTGGCCCAAACCCTTTCTCTTGGCTGCTGTGTGCCTCTCCTCTCCCCAACCATGGATGGCCCCTGGTCTTTCCTCCTGCTCCCCAGAACTGATGGCTGGTGCCAAAGCCCTCACCTTGTCTTTGTGCTGTTACCAGGGCATGGACTCAGTGTGCGAGCATGGGACAATGTGGAAGAAGCCACCAGAAGTGACTCCCAATTCCCTCCTGCACCATTTTGACTTCCACTGTGTGTCCTGTGACATGCTGGGGAATTCTGGCCTCAGCATTATCAACCAGTTAATCTACATGGCTTTCAGGTAGGTACTGGGAGGGTAGTAGGGTCCAGGTCAGGCTTGTCCCAGGTTCAGTCAGTTTCTGCCTTTGTTCCCAGGATGAATTGGGCCTCCAGTCACAGCTCCGAGGCAGAGATAAGGAGCCAAAGTGCAGGACCCTTCATCTGTCCCAGGAACACCAGTTACCAGGGTTCCTGGGAGCAGCGCTGGCTACTGCAGCTTGCTGATCTGGTGCCCCAAGTGACAAGGTAATGAAGAGTTGCTGGACATTCTCAGTGTGGGAGTACAGGAGTTTTTCCTTGGGAGATGGGAGGAGTGTTGGGGAGTCTGAGCTGCCTTGCTGAGGGGACCTGAGCGATTTTCTCAGCTCTCACGAGCTTTCTAGAATTTCACCATCTCCAATTCTTCTGTAGATTTTGGAAGATGGTCTGATTCTCTAGAGGCACAAGATAGTAAAGACGAGGTAAGAAGGATGTAGCTCTGACCTGCTCTAGGCAAGGACTCAGGCTAGCCCAGGTACGATTATAACACAGGCTAACCAGGGTGAGTGGCCAGTACTGGAATTTAGTCTGGTCTGCATAGTCAGCTCAGACTCATTGCACACTTGATATCTTCAGTGCAGAGGCCAAAGTTGTGTGTCTACACTCACTCCTCTCTGCCTTCTTCTGCCCCATTCTGACATTTATGTTTAAAAAGCTTATTTTATGTGCATTAGTATTTGCCTGCATGTATGCATGTGGATCGTGTTCATGTCTGGTGCCCTTAGAAGTCAGAAAAGAGCCTGGATCCCTTGAATATGGAGTTACGGATGGTTCTGAGCCATCATGTGGGTGTAGAGAACCAAACAGGTTCTCTGCAAGAGCAACAAAAGTTCCTAAGCAATGAGCATCTCTCTAGCTCTCACGCAGTTCCCCAGCTCTCCAGCTGCCTTTTGTTCCCCACCACACCCCCAACCCCTTGCTTTGAGAGAGGGTTTCTCTGTGTAGGCCTGGCTGTCCTGGAACTCACTATGTAGACCAGGCTAGCTTTGAACTCACAGAGATCCTCTTTTGTGAGACTAAAGGCATGTGCTACCACCACACGGCTACCTTTTACCTTCCCACAGGGCCTTCCCTCTGTCTGGAATCCCCTTCCCAGAGCATATACCAGGGATCAGCTAGCTGATGGTCTTTTTGAGGTCCAGGGTAAGTCTATGAGAGTGTTGATCACACTGTGTTGAGTCTGTCTTCCCTAGGGAAGTGAAGCTCTATCCTCCTCCAGCTCTAGAGACAGCCTATCACTAGATGAGGAAAGAGGGAGCGTGGGCTAAAGCACAGGAATTCAGCCTGCTGACATGCACATCCTCGCTCATATGCTAGGCCACTCTCTCTGGATTTGGATCAGAACAGCAAAGAAAGAAGTTCTATTACTGACAGACTGATAATCAGACCCAAGGCCCCCAGAAGGATCTGTGCACATGGACTAGAAATGGAAGTTGTTTGTCAGCTAAGATGGGTAGACAAGGCCACCATTCCCAAGTGACAGCGAGCCGAATGCTGGGTTTTTAGTTAATCACAGCAGTCATGCAACTGTGAAGACATTCATGGTAAAGATAAAATGGTGTGACATCAGTCTGGTTCTGAATAAAATCTTGGTCTGGTACTCTTTGCAAGCATAGTGTCTGGGGAGGAAGGGTCAGATCTCAGGGACAACTTTTTCTCTCTCTCTCTCTCTCCCATCCATCTTTCCATCTATTCATTTATCTATTCACTTATCTAGTTATCATCTATTTAATTTGTTTTTCTTGGGCAGCAGTTTACAATGTAGCTCCAGGCTGACCTTGAACTCATTATGTTCCTGTTTCAGCCTTCTGAGGACTGGCATTATAGGTGTGCACTACCTTGCCCAGTGTTATATATAGCATTTTCCTACAAGTCAAAAACCTTTCATTTTGGAGGAAAGCTCCTTAAGACCTAGGAGGTTTTAAGGGGAGGCAAAAATTCCATCCTACAGGGAAGACTCCCAAGTAACAACTCAAAAGCTTCAGGAAGTCCCAGAAACTGAGCAGATTTACTAGACCCTTCACTCTATTAGTATACATAAATTATGAGACCTGCAGAGTCACTCCCAGACAAGCCTAGCTGCCAGGCAGGAAGCAGAGACCAACTGAACTACCTGCAAAAGACTTTCTAACTTGTGAAGCTGCCCACAAGTTGTGCAATGAGCTACAGGTTTGCAGCATTTGTGTGTGTCACCCTTTGTGGGGTGGGCTTTTGGTTATGTAACTGTGTTTGGGTCATTTTTACTACTCCTATTAAGTACCCCAATCAAATGCATTTGTTCACTTTCACTGAATAGCATGAGCAACCTCATCAAGTTAGTGTCATTGTTTTCAGAGGAGACTCCAGTACAAGAAACCAGAAAAATGACATATGAAAAGATGAAACTGGACTTCTAATACATGCAATATATGTACATGTGATTGTGTGTGTGAAGGACATAACTATCAAAAATACAATCTTCAAGAGTAGCAAGAATGAGCATAGCATGCTGAGATCAAGCATAGAACACTGGAAACAACCGTTTTGGGGGCTGGTGACATGGCTTGGTGGCAGAACTCCTATGTAGCATCACTGATACCTCGGGTTCTATCCCCAACACTGAAGGAAAGGAAGAAAGGTGGGCACAACTGCACTTAGGCTCTGAGGAAGTCACTAACAATGGTCTCAGGCCTGGGAGATCTAGTCTCTATCCACTAGGCCCTTTCTGTGACAGGTTTAGCCAGTCTATATTGATTAGCTTGATACATGGTTGGACTTAGGGGCCAGAGTCACTTCCAGTTAGATGTTCTCAGGGAGGGACACAAGGATAATCAGGCAGACAACTATGTGTTATGGGGAACAAAGCCAGATGGACCTCTCAAATCAAGGCTTTGACTTTATGCAAAGGTCTTGACTTTATGTAAAGAAAGTTGGTGCTATACAGTACCTTCTATTCTCCTGTAGTAATTGTCTCCAAGGCTTATTGACTCCACCTGCGAACCTAGGCCGCCTAGTACTGGAAGCTTCCAGCCTCCATTCAATCTAATCTAGGCCTAGAATATTTTCAGCCTCTGAAGCTTACTGTTCAATAAGCTCACCCTTTCTAGTTGCTTCTGACCTCTGGCAGGCTAGTCAACTCAGCTGTTCTGGTCCAAAACTCCTTTACATGTTAACTGATTCAAAATGGCTTCTCTAGGCTTCTTCTACATTTCTCTGCTTGGCCTCAAACTAACTCTAGCAATGTTCTTATCTCCTAGCTCTATCTTTACCTGCCTAGTCTAGATTGTTCTCTCTTCAACCTCTCTGTAAAATTCTCCTAGTAAGACTGCCTCCTTCTCCCTCCCTCTCTCCACTTGCCCCTTAAATAGCTTCTCCTTTTCTCTTCTTGTGAGTTGGATATATCCTATTCTGTCAGATTTTTCTGTGACTTGTCATTTTGTCTGACACTCAATAGACAGCACTTTCTTCATTCTTTTTTTTTAAAAAATGTATTTATTTTATGTACAGGAGTACACTGTAGCTGTCTTCAGACACACCAGAAGAAGGCCTTAGATCTCATTACAGATGCTTTTGAGCCACCATGTGGTTACTGGGAATTGAACTCAGGACCTCTGGAAGAGCAGATGGTGCTCTTAACCACTGAGCCATCTCTCCAGCCCTGGGTTGCTTCCTTCTATAAACTAATTTTACCTTCATAGTTTGGGATTAAAGGTATATACTATGGGCATGTCTGTATTCCAGCCAGAGGGATTAAAGGTCTGTGCTAAGGGTTGAGCCATCTGACAATTAGAAACGGTTTCTTTTTCTTCAGTAAACAACACAATCTCAGGGTTCATAGTGTGATCCTTCAGCAGGTGGCCTTAGCATCTGCGTTAGAACTAGAGGCCTGCCATAACCCAGCCTCTAACCTTGGGCCCACCCTTTGCTACAAGAGACCAGTTGACCACCAGTGAGCTTAGCAGCACTCCCAAGTTCTCCATCCCTGAAAGGTCATTGGGTGAGTCCCTTGCTCTATGGTCCTCCTGTTCATACTCAGAGGTCTCTAACTCATTAATGTGTTACTTGGTTCTGGCTTTGTTTATAGTATGCAAGTGTATGGGCATGTATGTGCTATTGCACATGTGTGGAGGTCAGAGGGCAACTTATTCACCTATCTTGTGGGACTGGGGGATAGAACTCGGGCTGTCAGGCTTTGCAGGAAGTGCCTTTATTTGCTGGTTCTTATCAGTCACACTTCAGTTTGGCCCCAGGCTTTTCTTTTCTTCTCTTTTTCATATGGTTTTTCAAGACAGTGTTTCTCTGCATAGTCTTGGCTTTTCTGGAATTCACTCTGTAGATCAGGCTGGTCTCAAACTCAGAGTTCCTGCCTCTGCCACTCGGAGTGGTAGGTTTAAAGGTATGCACCACCACCACTCAGAGGTTTTCTTATGTAGTCTTCCCAGTTAGACAACATAGCATGTAGTAAGTTCATGCAGCCATGTAAGAATCAGCAAACCATCCTTAATTCCCGATTCCCTGCTTCTGCCTATCTACATAAGCAGAGACCACAGCCAAGGACTTATGCAAAGACCTAGGATTTATTTTGACGAGAAGCTGAGGGAGACACCGAAGACAAGTAAGCCACGGATACTCCCTGTACCTGATACATTCAGGACGCTCCTGCCCAGGACAGAATACACATATGCTGTTGGGTCTTCAGGCTTAGTGTAGATTGTGGTTGCTTCATCCGGCAGAAAGACAACAGATGCCCTGTGGTCAGGGCAAGGCACTTCTTGAGTAACAGTAGGTTAGCAAGCAAATGTAATTTGCTTCATTCCCACGTGTGTTGGGACCTTCTTTAGCCTGGAGGGTTCTTGTTTTCTTCCTGGGACTATCAGCTGGCTAGGGTCTCCCAGGTTGGGTAACAGGTAAATCTTGCCTTTGGCAAATCTGTAGCTTGGGGAGTGGGGTGGCTGTGGCCCCTCTGCAGTCATCCGATTGGTGTACTATCTGGCTCGCCCGTGTCCTACCCTGTCTATGGCCACTACCTGTGGGTATTTTGAGTAGTGTCCCGACTGAGATGTAGCAGGAATGGCCCTGGGGATGTCAGACTCTGATTCAGGGACTCATCCAGCTTTCGGGTCTCGGCCTCCAGAACAGTGGCCTCAGGGGCCTGGGCCACAGTGAGGAGGGAGTGAGACAGGCTGTGATGCAGGCCTGCTAGCTCACGGCTGGTCTGCACTGAGCGTGCAATGTAGTCCTGCCTCTGCTTTCGCTCCATGGCCAGCTGGGCTCGCAGCAGGGCTACCTGGTGGATAGGAAAACCAAGGATGCAGTTGAGAGCTCTGAGGCTGTCCTGGCCGTCTGCTCTGTGCTCTCATAGAACCAACCCTGCTACACACATGAATCTCAGAATCAGGCTCTAGTGTTGGGAAAGGGGCCCCATGGACTCCAAATCCAGTGATTCCTAACACTGGCTCGTTACAATGGCTGGTTTAACTGTTAGCTTCACACAATCTCGAATCATCTGGGAAGTATCTCAGGAAGAGGTCTTCTCTTCTACAGAACGACCTGAGCACTCAGCTCATGAGGTGGTACCACTCCGTGGCTTTGATTCCTGGACCGTAGAGCTGACAGTGGTCATGCCTGCATTTGCTCTCTCTGGGCTTCTGCCTGTGATGTGACTAGCTGCTTTAAGTTCTGCAGCCATGAACCCCCTGCTATGATGGACTGTTACCTGAAATTATCGCTAAAATAACCCCTTCCTCCTGTACATTGCTTTTGTCAGTGTATTTCATCAACGCATACAGGACAACAGTTGACACACAGGGAGCTACAAGCAGCAATCAAACTCAACAATTTTTTTTTTAAATTTTAAAAGGTTTACTTTTAAAAAGTGTATGACTGTCTTGCCTGCATGTGTATGTGTGCATCATGGGTGCCTGGTGCCCGCAGAGGTCAGAAGAGGGTGTCAGATGCTCTGAACTGGAGTTTGTGGATGGTTGTGTTGGAACTGAACCTAGATCCTCTGCAAGAGCAACAGGTGCTCTTAACCACTGAGCCATCTCTCCAGCTCTTCGTCAATTTTATTAAAAGAAAACTTACATGTGATAAAATGCCCAGAGTTTTAATTTTAATGATTTTGATAATGGATATATCTGTGTATCACCACAGTCTAATCAAGACAGAGAGATTTTAATCGCAGTAAAAGTTCCATCATAACTTTTGTAAGAAAACATTCCAACTTAACTAGAATGGTGTGAGGCCCAGGTATCAGTATTTGTTCAGCCCCCCCTCCCCGCCCCGTGTCTCTAGCATACAGCTAAGGTTGAAAATCACCAACTAAACTTTCCATTCCTCAGACAGTGAGCTAAGCAGAAACGAGAAGTGACTGGAGTGTCAGGATTGTACAGAACTAGCTGAGAGAAGAGGCAGCAGAGG